TTACCACTTATCACTCGGTCACACTATAAAACATCTCATTACAAGTTGCTTACTCCATTCTTCAGCCTAGCAGCTAATTGAGGTTCAGTTGCTCTGATCACAAACTTAGTATTATACTTTATGCGATAACTGTGATTGTCTTTTGTGTTACAACATTGTCAGAGTTCAAGTCAGTATAGTCTATGGCTTGGAGGGGAATTTCCAAGTGATAGTGTTTGACATCAGTCCTGTCAATCACTCAGACATTTTACCCTGATAAAATTCCAATATAAGTAAATAGAACAGGCTAAAGTACTGCGGATGTTAGCAATCTCAAATTTAAGAAGAAAATACTGGAAATACTTAGAGGATCAAGCAGCATCTGTGGAGAGAGAAACAATTAACATTTCCAATTGATGCTTTTTCATCAAAACTGGAAGAAAAGAGTTACAAATTTTAAGTTCTAAGCAAGTGAAGCAGAGGAATAGAATATACCAAAAAATATAGGTTGATGAACAGGAGAGATTAAAATTATAAACAATTGATGTTGCAAAACCAAAGGGAGTGGCAGTGGGACAAAAAGCAAAAATATGTCCAAAATTTGAATGGTAGAATGGTGGGAAGCTGACATCCGGAACAAGAGAAAAATGAGGGGGTAAATATGTTAAAAAATAAACAGAACAGGGAAGAGATTATGGTCTGAAAATTGTTGACCTCAGTATTTAGTTTGGAAGACAGTAAAGTGCCCAATCAAAGGATTCTACAGTTTAGAATTAAAATGACAGGTGACTAAAAGCTCAGTGGCATATGCTTACAAATTGAATGGAGGTGTGAGTACAAGCTGTTGCTGTGTAAACAACTTCTCTGCTTCCTTCACAGCACCCCTTACCACCATTATCTTAATTTTAATGGAAATATAATTCAGGAGAGAGGCAAAATTAGCTACAATTCATCATTAAATATGCATTATCACTCAAAGTCAAAATCTATCCCAATGTGTTCCCTGACTCGATTAGAGAAAGAAATTTTACAGATTTTACAGAATATGGGAATATACAGTTAAATGATCCTTTGTGTAACACTTATGCAACATTGTTAGATAAGCAGCTAAGATAGCTAAGCCAGATAAATAGCTAAGGTAAATGGAAGAGGCTGTGCTACATCAATGTAAAATAATGAAATGCACAAATGACAACTACAGTGAAATGACTGTAAAAGACAGAAGTAATATAAATGGTTCAGCCAATTTCTTTTCTTCTAACCTTTATGCATGGCTCATTGATCTTTAATGGACGTTTATTTTCGGTTGGCAGAATGAATAGCCAAGTTAACAGTATTTATCTTTGACTGATGAATGAAGATAGGAGAACGCCACCTGAATGTTGTAATCACAATTAAAGTGAAAAGCTGAGATAACAAGATGTACAGCTGGATGAACACAGCAGGCCAAGCAGCATCAGAGGAGCAGGAAGGCTGACGTTTCGGGTCTAGACCCTTCTTCAGAAATGGGGGAGGGGAAGGGGGTTCTGAAATAAATAGGGAGAGAGGGGGAGGCGGAAAGAAGATGGATAGAGTAGGTATGGAAGAGGGATTGTTCCACATAACCTACAAAGAGGCAGGCATAGCTTGGGCCCATGCGGGTACGCATGGCCACCCACTTTGTCTGTAGGAAGTGGGAGGAATTGAAAGAGAATTGAAAGATTTCACAAGCTTCAAAATCTCCCCTCCCCTGATTGCATCCCAAAACCAGCCCAGCTCATCCCCGTCCCCCTAACCTGTTCTTCCTCCCACCTATCCCCTCCTCCCACCTCAAGCCCCACCCCCATCTCCTACCTACTAACCTCGTCCTGCCCCCTTGACCTGTCCGTCCTCCCTGGACTGACCTATCTCCTCCCTAGCTCCCCACCTACACACACCTTTACTGGCTCCATCCCCGCCTCTTTGACCTGTCTGTCTCGTCTCCACCTATCTTCTCCTCTATCCATCTTTTATCTGCCTCCCCCTCTCTCCCTATTTATTTCAGAACCCCCTTCCCCTCCCCCATTTCTGAAGAAGGGTCTAGGCCTGAAACGTCAGCCTTCCTGCTCCTCTGATGCTGCTTGGCCTGCTGTGTTCATCCAGCTCTACACCTTGTTATCTCAGATTCTCCAGCATCTGCAGTTCCTACTATCTCTAAAGTGAAAATCTCCTTGTTTAACATTTCAGTAGGCAGGCAAACACAAAACATGGAAACATTCTTCAATGATTCATAAAATCTTCCTTACATATTATTAAGTTCCAGTGAGTGGCAACATATCAATGTACAAATGTACACTAATGAACAAAATGCAAAGTATTATATGATTTTGCCCCAATCCTACACGATACTGACTGAGTAGTACATGGTAATACATGGTTTGAGTGGCTTACTTCAGTTTCTTTGCTCATGTACAATCTTAGCTTCCTGTAATGCTCAATTATAGAATGTAATTGGGAAGGATTATATTTAACTTTGCCCTGAATCTAGGCAGAGATTTTTTTTCTTGTAGGCATCAACACTCATAACTAGAGTTGGAATGCAATCAGATAGACAAAGGTCTACTGTGCAATGCAGAAGTTGAGCACTGACAGATCTAATGTTCTTTGCTTATTTTTCTTTCCTTTTGTACAAATCATTGGGCTATATTTTGAGGTCAGAAATAAAACAGAAAATATGGAAATGCAATGGATGGACCACAGATTTTAGGTTTGAATAAATCCTCACTGTTGACATCATGAATGTCAAGCTAGGAAGGCAACTTACTGGAAATGATTATTGCAAATCTGGCTTAACTGATAGTGTGAACATTGACTTTTTGATAGGGGATGTAATTAAGTAGATCCAATGAATGAGATTTTACATGATCTGTAGATCACATAGTTTTGATGGATTTTATGGTATTTTCTTCAAATCTTTTTTAATGCTCTTAGGCGCACACTGTCTTATAACGTGAAATTGTATAACAAACTGGATTTATTTGATTAGATTGAGCAAGTGATGATTTATCACTGTGTTATACTGTGCAACACATATTAACTTGGTCTTTACTGAAACATATACTGTAAATTTCCTCATCTATCAAACTACTTTGACACATGCGTATAAATAGGACAAATGGGTTAAGTTAATCATAAGAATCATCAGGATAATAAGAGTTGAAGAATATGCTATGATGGAAAGTGTTCAAAGTGGACAATGTAAAAGAATTGAAGAGCAAATGTGATGTATTGCTGGAGAGAAGATATTAAGGGATGTGTTGGGAAGGTCATTTAGTCACAGAGTCATAGAGTTGTACAACACAAAACACACCCTTCGGTCCAACTCGTCTATGCCCTCCAGATATCCTAAATTAATCTAGTCCCATTTGCCAGCATTTGGCCCACATCCCTCTAAACACTTCTTATTGATGATTCAATCCAGATGCCTCTTGAATGTTGTAATTGTACCAGCCTCTACCACTTCCTCTGGCAACTCAATCCATACAAGTACGACCCTCTGCATGAAAAAGTTACCCCTTTGGTCTCTTTTAAATCTTTTCCCTCTCACCTTAAACCTATGCCTTCTAGCTTTGGACTCCCCTATCCTGGGGAAAAGAACCTTGACTATTCACCCTATCCATGCTCCTCATGATTTTACAAATCTCTATAAGGTCACCCCTTGGCCTCCAACACTCCAGGGAAAATAGCCCCAGCTTATTCAGCCTCTCCCTTTAGCTCTAACCCTCCAACCCTGGCAACATTCTTGTAAATCTTTTCTGAGCCCTTTCAAGTTTAATAGTGTCCTTCCTATAGCAGGGAGACTAGAATTGAATGTAGTATTCTAAAAATGGCCTAACCAATGTCCTCTACAGCCGCAACTATACTCAACGCACTGGCCAATAAAGACAAGCATACAAATGCCTTCTTCACCACTCTGTTTACCTGAGAGTCCACTTTCAAGGAACTATGAACTTTCACCCCAAGGTCTCTTGGTTTGGCAACACTCCCCAGAACCCTACCATTAAGTGTATAAGTCCTGCTCTGATTCACCTTTCCAAAATGCAACTCCTCACATTTATCTAAATTAAACTCCATCTGCCACTCTTTAGCCCAATGGCCCATCTGATCAAGGACCAGTTGTACTCTGAGATAATCTTCTTCATTGTCCACTACACCAATAATTTTGGTATCATCTGCAAACTTATTAACCATTCCTCTTACATTCAATCCAAATCATTTATATAAATAACAAAAAGCACTGGACCCAGCACCGATCCTTGCAGCACAGCGCTAATCACAGGCCTCTAGTCTGATAAACAACTCTCCACCATCACTTTCTATCTCTCACCTTCAAGTCAATTATGTATCCAAATGGCTAGCTCTCCCTAGTTTTCATGTGATCTAACTTTGCTAACCAGTCTACTGTGCGAACCTTGTCAAACACCTTACTGAAGTTCATATAGACAATGTCCACCTGTCTTCACCAAATTTCTTTGTCAAAAAACTCAAATTAAGTTAGCATGACACAACTTCCCACGCACAAAGCCATGTTGACTATCCCTAATCAGTCCTTGCCTTTCCAAATATATGTAAATAATGTTCCCCAGGATTCTCCCCAACAACTTACCCACCACTGACATCAGGCTCACTGGTCTATAGTTCCCTGACTTTTTCTTAAATAATGGCACCACATTAGCCATCCTCCAGTCTTCCGGCATCTTACCCATGGCTATCAATGATATAACTATCTCAGTAAGCACTTCCTTAGCTTCCCACAAAGTTCTGGGATACACCTGATCAGGTCTGGGGATATATTCACCTGTGTGCATTTTAAGACATCCAGCACCTCCTCCTCTGTAATATGGACACTTTTCAAGATATCACTACTTACTTCTCCAATTTGATGGGGTTGAGATCAATAAAATAAAAGCAGTTTTCACCACGATGGATGATTGCAATTCCATTAATTATTCATGTTGCTATGAAGGAAAGAAGTATGTAAAGTTAACTAGATAGCTACTTACATTAGGACAAGCATCTTCTCCCTGTTGTCCAACCAGTATGTACAGAATTAGATCTTTTTCTAGTTGGAAAATGGCTTGTACTAACACACCATGAAATCTTCTAAAGTTTCCCTTTCCTCCTATGCCTCCAGCAGCTCCATATGCTGATATCCTGCAGGTAGAAGTCAAAATTGTTTACTTAATTCATACATTCTCCTGCAATATCACATTCCAAAACCATGATCTCTACTATCTGGAAGGATAAGGGCAGCAAAAGAGTAGTAGCACCAGGCCACCTGCAAGTTCCCCTTCAAGCTACTCAGCATCTTGACATGGAACTATACTCGCATTCTTCCACTGTCACTGGATCACAATCCTGGAAGTCTTTTCCTAACAGAACTGTGTGGTGTACATACACCAAATGGACTCCCACAGTTCAAGCCAGCAGCTCCTCACCACCATCTCAAGTGCAATTAGGAATGAATGAGAAACATTGGACTAGCCAGAAAAACCGACACTCCATGGAAAGGTTCATAAGAAAGAAACTTCCAATTCCCAATATTATAACCATTAGATGTGACATTGACAATCATTTCAATATTTACTAAGTGGTGATTGAGATTCTGTGGGGGCAGTGTTATGGTGATGGAATAAAGGTTGGGAAATATGGAAGTATCAATTATCCTGAACTCTGCAGAACTTTATACTTTGTTCTTCCAGATTTCCCAGTCTATAACCAGCCTGATGAACAAAACTATGGAGCAGGAACTTCATTACACAGCAAATAAGCCTTGTCCTGTACCAGGTCCGTAATTTTAGAAGCAGGAATTGGTCGTCAGAGAAAGGATGGAGGAATTTGTGGGGTTGGGGGGGTTTAATAAAAATGTGACATTAATGGGTAATTTCTTGGGGATTGAAGGAAATAGTCTTTTTTTCTCCTGGAACACAAGCTGTGCTGCAAATACCTTCCTTACCTAAGGATCTGATTGTTCTTGAGTCCTTTAAGCTGCTAAGTTTCCCAAGGTTGAAACACAAGTAATAGGGACTCTAAATAGAAATCTCATTAAAATGGAGATACACAGATATTTTAAAAGGTTTCAATGACTGACCCATCTCCAAGGGGTGGATTAGTTGCCTGGACCTCATTTTGCCTCTGTTTAGACTAGAAGTGGGTAGCTTTGAAACTTGATTTTGAAAGTGTCAACATAATTTCTTTTAGCTTACCAATCAACCAAACCCATGCACCCTTAGGTCAAATGCTGCCCTCTCCTATTCCAGCTCTACATGTTTAGGAAGCCATCATAAAATATTAGCCACCTCCGCGTGCTTTCTGTTTCCATCTAAGTGGCTAGCTCTATACCTTTTTATGAAGAATCTCTTTAAAACTTAGCTCATCACCATCAAATCCCTACATCTGATAATGTAATGGAATCAAATAATTAATTGAATCAAATCCCAACAAGTCTACACCACCCCTCCAAAAGGCATCCCACCCAGACCTATCCCCACACCCTTTCCCTATAACTATTCCCTGCATTTCCCATGGCTAATCCACCTAACTTACACAACCCTGGACATTATGGGCAATTTAGCATGGCCAATCTACCTAACCTGCATATCTTTGGACTGCGGGAGGAAACCGGAGCACCTGGAGAAAACGCAAGCAGGGAATGTGCAAATCCACATAGACAGTCACCTGAGGGTGGAATGAAACCCTGGTCTCTGGCACTGTGAGGCAGCAGTGCAAACCAGTGAGCCACCGTGCCGACTTTTTGACTTAGCAGTACTTATCCTTGCATTTTCTATCTTTCTAGCTTGACAAGGATTTTTATTATATCTTTTAAGTCTAAAGTGTCTTGGGATTTAACATTAAAGGAGCTTAAGAAATGAAAGCCATTGTCAATGCCTGATTCTGATTTCCTTTCCTAACAACCTCCTGCAGCTGCAAGGGGGCAGAAAATAAACAATCAGCTTAGCCATGACTATGGCTCCCCCATTGTTTCTATTCACTACCCATTATTTCCATTAAGTGGAAATGCACAAATCTTAGCCAAACAATCACATATAACATTTCACTTAAGGGCTCAGTGGTGCAGTGTTAATTTTTCCTACCTTTGAGCCAGGTAGGTCTGTGTTCAAGTCCTACCTGCTCCAAATGTTATAAAACTTCAGCTAGCTTTTGTAAGATGTGCAACAGTAACTCCAGGAGACAATTTGGGGGATGGCTTCTGTTAATGATCAATGTGTTGGGAGACCCAACACTGTAGGTTTGCGATTTTCATATGTGAGGAGACTAGGAATCACTTGAGGCTTGCAGGTTGCTGATTTAGATGTCATTGGCTTATAACATTGCTGCCGGCATGTTTCTGAGAGAGATAAGGTGCAGCAGATGGCCATCTGAAGCTCATTTCACAATGTTGATATTTCACAAAAAAAAGGGCAACAATGTTCAACTTCTTCTTGAGTGGTCAATGTCTACCTTGCCCTATTATGCTTTTGGTAGGTCACATTACTGTCATCTATAACCTCTGATATGAACCTTCCTTCCATGCTAGTTGAAAATATGCAGAAGATAACCTTAAACAGAAGAATGTATAGAAAGTTCATGGGGAGAGGAAGAGTTCTCAATTCAGTTCCTTGCAGAAGTCAATGCACGTTACAAAAACAATATGAAAACTTAATTTATTGTCAAATATGCTTGCTCATGGATTAGGTGAGGATATGATAAGCAAGAAATCAAATATTAATACTGTATCTGAAAAACACCCAAAAACCAAAGAACTGCAGATGCTAGAAATCAGAAACAAAATTAGAAACAACTGGAAAAACTCAGCATGTCTGGCAGCATCTGTGGAGAGGAAGCAGAGTTAACGTTTTGGGTCCAATGGCTCGTCTTCAGAATGAATGTTGTATTGTTGCCTTCTGCCATAAATAATTGACTGGGGAAGATCAGTAGGTAACATTACTCAAGGCAAAATGGGAACATGTTGCATGCTGCAGCATGACCATTTAATTTGATGAATTCAGGGAAAAGCCGGCTCTATGTTTTCTCACATTGATAGAAACCTTGTTTTTACTGCCAGATGCCAATATCTCAAAGGAGCAGCAACAACATAGGAGAGGACTGAAAAATCAAACTCTATAAATAAATGATGAAAGGCTTGCTCTAACTATCAAAGTCATTGGAAATCAATCCACTTTTTTCATAAAACATTAGTCTGTAAGCAACTGCTGATAAATCGTTAAAACTCTTGTCCATCCTGGTTTTTAAATGTTACACTTGTAGGTAACTTTGACCAGTCATACTATATTTGCTCTGTAGTGTCAAAGTCAGTACTAATGGGTGCTGGAAATAAATGAAAGGCAACATAGGGCTTTCACAGCTAAGGATGAACAGCAAGAGAACTGCACTGAGAGTGTAAATATGTTATCCAATTTTCTACTTTTTCAAAACAATCAAATCCTGAAGCAAGGTCCAGCACATTCATGACAGGCAGCTAAACCAATTAGTTAGGAGCAGTTTGCTGTGTCAACCTCTCAGTTTTAACCATAAATACAGCTGATGGAAGAATTGCATACCTAGTGCTGAACAGGTTTTATATTGAGATTGACTAATACCACATCAGATTTAGTGGTCAAGAGGATTAACGTTAGCATGAAAATATAAACTCTACAGTGTTCTTTAGGACTCATGCATTTTCTAAGCTACTGAGGCAATGGGCCACATTATGCTAAGGAAATAGTGATGTCTGAATCTCACACATCATTAATAATGCACAAAGTGATCAGGTGCTTATAGTGGCAAAGAGATACGCTGTGCATTGTGACTCACCACAAGTTGCATTGCCCTGCCATTAGCTTTGCAAAAATGGCATCCTGTGTTTAATCTTACTCTGACTTCCATGAAGTTGCTGCTTTTGCACCTTATATGCTCATTCAATTCACTGGGGAAAATTAACTCTCATAATTAACATGATAAGTATCCTCTTGACTGTGCGATAATTGTGAATGACATTCAATCAATCTGTGTTTCTCAAATGTGGAAGTTGTAAATTTTAGGAGAAATTAAACATGAAAAATTTCAATTTTTTCCTTATTTTTCCTTTCTGTTGTTTTCCTTGTAGGCCTTTTAATCCAATCTTTCTCTCCCTCTATCTCTTTTTCTAAATCCGATTTGGCATCAAATTCATCCATTCTAATTCACCCTCTTTTTAGTTTTTCCTTTGTTTGTTTCTCAATCTTTAAATGTCATTGGTTAAGATGATCCCCTGAGAGTCCCATTGTTCACCAAGTTGCTAGGTGACCTGCAAACTCATTGCACCTTGATCAATTCACACATCAGCAGAAATCTGAGCAATTTCCAGCAAGCTGTTTTAAAACTTAAACATTCATGAGCAAGTGCAAATGCAACAGTGCACTTTGCCTGTTACCCAAGTCATTTGGCCCAATAATGTTTCCTTGGATTAGGTTGAGTCCCATAGTTTGCAATGATGAAGGAGGATATAGCAATTGAATGTCAGCTTGAATAAACAAATGCAGAAGGGGGAAGCACATTTGGTTCATCAAGCCTGCAACATCAGAGACATAGGGAAGCCCACTGGAGTTAGGAATAGAGGCATACAGATGCGGAATTTTGCAAAACCTACCTGCATATTGATTCCTGGCTGCATCCCATACCCAGGTCATTTTCATTGAGGAATGGCAGGGCAACCTGTCCTCAAAAGGGGTGCTAAACCCAAGTCAGTAAATTCACGGTGATGTAAGACCAATTGCTGGAAACCCACTGAGATTTTTCAGTTGAGCTCCAGTTTTCTGAGGCAGCGGAAATGGTAGACCAGAGGAGCGGGACTCAAAGGAGACTTGCTAGGCAGACTCCCTGTCTGCTTGAGGCAGCAACAGACTAGCTTGTAGAGGCATTCCCCTCCCAAAAGTAGTGGCCCCAGCTGCTGAACCTGTTGTGTCTGGTTCTGAAAGGGTTAAAATGGAGAAGTGCCAAAAGCACCATACACCACGATGAAGTCACATGGACCTGTAGGTGAATAGCTCAGGGTCTCACAGGAGTAAGATCTACTGCCTGGTCCTCTTCATGGTCTCTGTAACAATGGGCTGAATCTTACCATGGGTTCTCTCACACAATCTTCCCAAACATTTCTCATTACCCATTACCATGCC